GAATGAAAGTTTCTGTGCGAATCACTGAAAGATATAACATTATCTTTTCCAAAACACACATAAACTCTAATCATAGTAGTGTCCTGTCATGTAATGACGAGTTATTTTGATTAATCAATCGTTCGACAATTTTCCCTTGTATTTTTTTCAGTTTTCCATCAATTTGCTGCTTCTGCGTGCGAGAAAAGATTTCCAGTTTAATTGCTGATGACAGCTGTTGTTCGGCTAAATCATATTTCTCTAAAATTTCATAAATATCAGCTAGTTTTTCATGGCTTGCAGCTACTCGTTGTCTTTGGCCATCTGAGTTAGTTGGTGTATTTTTCAATACGATATATTTATGCGTTGTCAAATAGTATTCAAGTGTCAATCTATAGTCATGTTTTTTCTCACTGTAGATATCGGCCATTTTTTCAGAAATTATAATGATGAAAATCGGATATGGCTTTGTTTGCATTAGAAAAACTTCCAAGCCTTTTTGGTAATTTTTTAACGCATTATCGTAATCAGAAGTTTTTGCATAATCGTCTCCTAAATGATTATAGCACCAGCCAATCGCCGTATCATTGAACGATAAACATTTCAACATCAGTCGAAGTTCTTTTTCGCGATAGATAGTCGCAATTTTTCTGTACTTTAATTTATCATTAATATCATCAGCCATATTAGTTTTCCGTTTATATAGATTTATATAGTTATGATAAACTTTATCAATTTTAATGATGGACATTTGTTCATCACGATCGTTAGAAATTTCAGCTTTTTCGATTACTTTATCGTAATAACTGATGGCTAAATCAACGTTTTCCGTGAACAAATCTTTGTTGTTCAGTTCTACGTAACAAAATGACATGCTACTGAAAACATCGCCAATATTCATTTCACAACCTAAAGAATTATCAGAAATATGTTCGAACCAAATTTGCAGTGCATGCTCATAATTTTGTAACGCTTGATTGTAATTTTTTTCTCGACGTTCATGTCTCGCCAGACAAAAGTTTTTGATGGCTAAAATCCATTTTTCCGATGGATATAAAATCAACAAATTTGTAAAAACGACATTTATTTCGTCTAATGTTGCCTCAATGAGGTAAACGGTTTGTTCTCCGATTTGTCGTTTTAGGTTTATTCTGCTGCTGCTTGGATGAGCTTCATATTTCTTACCGATTTCATCTCGTAAACGTAACTTTACCGTCCATACTTTTTCATTTTCGTCATAAACAACATGCCTTCGAGAACTGGGTTCACATTCAACGGTGAACTCAGTTGTGATCATGAATAAAATTTCTTTTTCGTTTGGAAAATAACTTAAATGTGTTATATCAGCAAAGGGTTGAGAAGCGCAATCCCAGTCAATTTCGATTTCAAATAAAATACTTTGTATTTCTGCATCAGGACTTGATGGTTGTAAAAACCCGAGTGCAACTGATCGATAGATGCTCGTGGAGAGGAAACTGTTGATTTGCACTGGTAGATCCGCTAGCTCCTGAAATTCATCTTTTGATATAATTTGACCTCGATATACTTTAATTGGTCGATGTTCAGATTGCTGCTGATGAATGTATTTCTCATGTTCTTGTTTAAGCTGTTGATACAAGTCTTTTATAAAGAAGCTAAACATAAATAGAACTCGAACATTACGTTGTCTCAACGCTTTGTTCAGCAAACGATAGAGAAACGTTTGGCGCGTATACCACCATACAGCGCGGTCGGATGTATATGTCTCTTCAAATTCTTTGAGGAGATTTGTTTCATGAGTATTTCCATTGTAGTAGAGTTCGAGTGCTCTAAGCATTTTTCGTTGACAGATTTTGGGATGCGGAAGACCGACCAATAAACGAATCAGATTTCCCCACCAGTTAACAGCAAACATATTCGTCGTTCGATCATTTTTGTTGGTTAGAACAAATATTTCGTCTTGTTCGTGTTTTAAATAATCTTTAACGTCTTGTGTTAAATTTTCCAGTAATTCTTCCAGTTTAACATGAATACCTTGGACCTATGCAATGAAAAAGTAGAGGAGACGTTGAAGTTCGAAGTCTCTTACTCTAAACTAGGGGAACAACAAGTTTTATCGTCATATCAGTGAGTATTTACAAGCTATGTACTAATGATTCTGATCTCCAATAGAAATAGATTTATCGATGGAAGATCTACGAAGACGCTTAACAATTCTCGTCAAGAAATCTCCCGTCCGAAATTATACAATGATTACATGACGAGAATAGTATTTTTTCCAGGTGCAACTGATAACTCATTTTTTGCTTTATGCCCGGTTCGCAGATTGTCTTCAGCATCTAAACAAAGCTTAGAGATCCGAATATGAAAAGTGATGATGTGGCTTTAACACTAGCTCAGACTGAACTTCACTTTGTTGACGAAGCTGTACTTTGGTATATGCCGAAGCCCATTGTCGATGACACTCTTTGTCTTGACAATAAATATAAATTGTTCGAATATGGTGACAATCATGTATTAATGGAACAATCTGCTTGCCTACTTGTCCCGATGTAATAAAAAATGTTATGGTGTCAGTTGTTTGCTTGATATACTGTTGACATTGTTTAACATTACTAACTATTTTAACATAATCAATAATTGTTCGAAGTTGATTAATTACAGTGGTTCCTTCATTGCTATTAACATATGCATCTAACCAGATCAATTGATGTGATTCAATATTTTCTTTATTTCGATCGAATACTAGTGATGTGTCGGAGGTAGTTGTTGGAATCGTTCGTGCAGCCAGTTTTGATTTCACTGAACGAAGCCGAATGAAAAGATATAAATTAATAGAATCCTTTCTCTTTTTTGTTTTTGGAAAAACGTTCGGAAGACACCAGTCTCAAAAACAATTAGTTCCACACTGAATAAAAACGGACTGTTCACCTGAATACAAACTTGAAACCATTTGATGATTCTATACGGGAGCAGATCTGTATCGACTCATTTCTCGGCTGTGGCAGTAACGACTTTAAATACTATTGAGTGTGTAGGTGTGGATGTGTGTCGTCGCTTTATACCCACACGTACAGATCCTCTCTACATATCGTGGAATGCCATTCGGAACAAGAAAAACATGTGAAATCTGATTGCTTAACAGAAAAAACTGAAAGATGCGATTGATTTGTTGGAACAGCAAAAAATGACTGGCTAAGAGAATATCTCAAAAGGTTTGGATGGTCAAGAATGAAACAGTCAAACCGTAAAGTGCACAATGATAAACCGAAACGGAATTTTGGATTTCGATATTTAAAAAAAGGACTTCATTTTCGCGTTCTCCGCGCCGCTTCTCTCTAGTAAATTATTATTAGAAAAATGACAGGACAAGAGAAATGCCAATATATCTACCGATTCTCAGCTAACCAGTAAGTGAAATAGAGCACTCTGGAACAAGCTTCTCCGTTTCTTGAATACCTCTTGTTTCGCCTTAAAACTTTTCTAATTTCTCCGAATCCCGTTCGATCTGTTCCAAAGTTTTTGACAAAAATCCTGCCTCGCGTCTCGTCTGTCTTGCTTTTAGAGCAAAAGCTATGTGATTTATAGATGAGTACTACCTTTTAGTTTGTGTTCCTAGAAGGCATTGCACAATAGAAACGACCAACCGTGCTCAATCGATACCAGGGATTTCAATAAAATTTTGCCAGATGTAGTCTCAAGTGG